GAAGTAAGTTGCCAGGTCCGGGACTCGAACCATCATTGGCCATGTGGGAGTCCAGCACCCTTAACCACCATGCACCTGCCAGCTTCCCAATTCTTTTCTTTTCTTTCTTTCTTTCTTTCTTTTTTTTTTTTCTAGAGGTTTTTGTTATAGGGTGCATGCACTCATCAGAAAGACAGAGAAAGACAGAGAAACAGAAAGCAAGAAATCACCTCCCGGGGGGGATGGCCACACCGCAATCCCTTCTCCTCCATTCTCCTCTCAGGATCTTGGGCATTCACACACATGCACTCGGCGTGATTTTAAGCCACTGGGTCTGGGACTCGAACCACGGTCAACTATATGAGAGTCCAGCGAAATAGCCATTACGCCAACTGCTGGTTTCTTTCTTTCTTTCTTTTGTAGAGAAATGTTTGCGATAGAATGTGCACGCTCACCGAAGAGACAGAGAAAGACAGAGCGACAGAAAGCAAGAAATCACTCCCGGGTGGGATGGCCAAACCTTCCTTCTCCTCCATTCTCCTCTCAGGATTTTGGGGACATATGCACACCAGCCTAGCATGAATTTCAAGCCACCGGGTCCATGACTTGAACCATATTTGACAACATGGGAGTCCAGCGACATAACCATTTTACCATCTGCTAGTCTCAATAAAATAATTATTAAAAAAAAAAAAAAAAAGATCCACAGAGTTCTTGGAGTTGAGAATGTTAAGAAGGGACTAGTGAGGACAGTGAGGGACCAAAGTTGTTTCATCAACCGTTGCTCTGCATACACGAATACAAATACAAACTGAGCTATTTAATAACAGAACTACCCAAAGTGATCTTAATTATAATAATCAACCAATCACACCCAGAAAAGTGGGGATTGCCAGCAATTAATACACACCCACACACCCACAGAGACACAGCCTCTCTCTTCCTCTGCTGAGAATGTCTACACCCAACCGATGTGCTTGCTAACTGTCACACCACGCAAACACTGCCGTGCAGAAACACCAGCACGAGTCTGGACTCTACATAAGGTCTCCACGAACACACAGACTTAGACAACAAAGTCATCTGTCGGGCCAGTGCATCAGTTGGTTCTCATCCCCTCTCCCAGCCCATCTGTGCTGCCTGAATCAGTCTCCAGGCCCAGGGAATCTCCCTCTTCTCCCCACCCCGATCCTGCTGGAGTGAAAGAAGGTAACAAGGTCTCTGGTCTATACCCAGGGATGGGTTGGGTGAGGGGAGAGGGAGGACCTGGGACAGAGTGAGTCAACTCAAGGTGAAAGGCTGTGGGGCTGTGGGTGGGCCTAGGGTGGAAGAATTTTTCAAAAAGGAAAAAGGCTGTGGGTGATGTGTGGTGACTGGCAGGTCACTGGAACCCACAGAGGGACAGGCCAGCCCACCGAAGGAGGACAGAAAGGAAGCTGTTCTCTGAGCTCAAAGCCTGTAGCAGGAGAAAATGGCCACCGACTTCCCGAATCACCAGAGCCTAGGCTTCGAAGATAAAGGGGCTGGCGGGCTGGTGCATCCTCTGTTGCCTCCACCCTCATGGGGCCCCTGATGCCCATCCAAGGAGATGCACCAAAGGAAATAGTGAGAAGCCATGGCCCCCTTCCCACAGGGACCCCACATTGTCCAGAGCAGCCCCTCGGGATGAATCAAAAGTGTGAGAACTGTGGGTCAGCTGGTGGTGTGGAGGTTAAAGTGGCTGGATCCCACATGGCCAAGTCCTGGACCCAGCAGCTTGAAAATCACACCAGGCACATGTATGTGCATGCCCAGAATCCTGAGAAGAGAATGGAGAAGGGACTGCAGCAGGCCAGACCCCCTGGGGGAAGATTTCTCACTTTCTTTCTGTGTGTGTGTGTGTGTGTGTGTGTGTGTGTGTGTGTCTGCCTGGTGAGTATATGCAACCTTTAGCAAAAACTACCAAAAAACTGTGAAGATTGTAAAATGCACACACACACATAATTTACAAAGCAGGGAAACTTGGTGATATTTAGAAAGTATAGGAATTTTCACGTTCATTAATGGTATTGTGTTTATTTTTTTAAGCTGTTTTTAGAGAAACAGAGAGAAATATTTAAGGATGACATAATGCCTAGGATTGGCTTATTATTAATAATCACTCACTATATTACTAATAGAGTTGCAGACAGTAGAACTGAGAGGATAAAGAAGAAAAAAGATGGAATACATACTGATAGCTACTGGGCCACCCCCATGGCCTGATGGTTAAGGGAGCTGGAATCCACACGGCCGACAGTGCAGCTCAAATACCATCTCCTGTGGCTTAGAAGACACACCAGGCATACGTGTGTGCCCCCAAAACCCTCCAGGATGGAGAAATGGAGAACAAGGGATTGTGGCATGACTATGCCCCTTTGGGGTGTGTTTTCTCCCTATCCCCTCTTTGTCTCTCTCTGGTGAGTGCCACACCCTATCTATACATTATTTTTATAAATTAAAATATTGATGACTGTTGAAGCTGGGTCTGCTATATTTTTCTATCCACGTTGTGTGTAGTGGATTTTTTCATAATGAAAAGTCAGTAGGCCCAGCTGCAGCGCAGGAGAGAGGGTACCGCTGTGCAGTGGCTGAGGTTACACGGGAAGCTTGGGTTGGTTCCCGACCCAAACTAAACAGGCTGGGCACCGTAGCATGCACCTGTGGTCCTAGCTAACTGGGAAGCCGGGGCAGAAGGATAGAGACCTAGAGAGACCTGGTCAAAAATGCCAATCTCGGGGCCGGCAAGTGGCATGGTGGTTAAAGGCGCTGGACTCCCACATGGCCGACCACGGTTCAAGTCTCGGACCTGGTGGCTTGCTTTCTCACTTCCTCTCTCTCTCTCTCTGTGTCCCTCTGATCAAACTGGAAAATAATAATGATAATAATAATAAATAAAGTTAAATAAAAGAATTCTTTAAAAAAAATGCCAATCTTTCCATCTCTCATTAAAAAAAAAAAAAGATAAGCGTGTGGATCTGAAAGGGAGACAACAAAACTTGTCACGTGAAAATCGTTAAGCAGGAACATGGAGAACAGGAGCCATTGGGGTAGAGACGGCAACACACACTCTGAAGTTCTGACTGGGCTCCATCAGCCCGCCCCTTGAGACCGGAGAAGGCCCAGTAGAAGGCTGTGGGCAGGCCCCAGGTGGGAAGGCCTCTGACCACATGACAGAGTGGAGGGTTAGGAGGCCCCACTGTCTGTCTGCTGTGTGATGGAGTGCAAGCCGCTAGACATCTCTGTATCTCAGGGCCTTTGGCGGCAAAATGGGGAGACTGCTTGGCCTACCTATTGCGCGGTGAAATAATGGAAGTGAAAGCACTCTAAATGCATCAGGCCTTGGGCGGCATCGTGGGAGGCCGTTTTTCCTGGTGGCCATGGAGGCCAGAGCAAGAAACCCAGGCAGACACTGTCTGGGCTGGGGTGCCTGCTGTGCCGGCATCGGATGTGCTGTAACTTCGGAAGTCTCTTGCTGTCTCTGGGTGTTTCCCTATCTGCACTGACAGGGCTGGACGAGATCTTCTGGGTTCCTTCTGATTTGGACACACTGAGCCCAGACTGGGCTGTGCCTGGGTATACCCAGAGGGTGCTAGTGTCGGGGGAGCAGAAAGGAACTCTCAGAAGGCTGAGGAGATGAAGGCTGAGGCAGAAAGGAACATGCCAGGTTTCCTGGACTTAAAGAGACATAGCTCAGTAACCCGAGCCCGTTGTGGTGGTGGACAGAGAGGTGGCTCGGTCACAGGGCACCCCCAGCAGGCGCACCAGCAATGCCCAGACTGAAGGCCATCTGAGGGCTCAGAACCCCTCCCCTCCACCCCCCAAAGTAGCCACTCTTCAACACCTCCCCAACTTCAGACCCACCATCCTTGGCCCACCGATGACACAGAGGTCCTACCGGTCCCTGGCCCATGCAGGCCCCCACTGGGAAGGATGAGCAAACGCTCTCACACCCCAGACACAGGCAGGGCCTGCTCAGGGTGTTTGTTGCTTACTAAACAAGCACCACACAGGTCGGAAGTTTCTTTCTTTCCTCATTAGGAGGCTCTATCAGGAAGCAGCACCCTCAGCCCCAAACTCGACACCTCATCTACCTCTCAGGGGTGCCTGAGCCTTGCAGCCATGGGGCTCCCCCTCCCAACTTCTCCCAGGCTGGATCCCTGAACATCTAGACAGAGATGCGGGCAAGTTAGCAGGGGACAGGCCTCAAAGGGGCAGTGTGGGGCTGGTCCCTGCTCACACCCCTGCGTGAGCTTCACCTCCTCAGGCCTGTGGGCAAGGGTGCCTGAGGGATCTGTGCTCCCCACCGGCTCTACTGCCCTCCCTTCTCACAACACACACACACACACACACACACACAGATACATGATCTCAAAGTCAGACCGGAAAGGAAACTTGGCGACTGCTTCCCTGTGTCACCAAATCCCAGTCTCCCCTCACCTCCCCCATCAAAGCTGACCTGAGCACAACAGCAGCAGAGGGGCTGGAGGAAGGAGGCTGCGGGGACCAGCCTACTGTCCCCACCCTGGGAGACTCTGCCTTCCTTCCAGCTTCCCCCGCAGAGGGGCTCTGAGGTGTTCTGCCCTGTCAGACGCAGAATGCACGCCCCCCACTGCCCACTGTGACCCCACTCGCGGAGAACCGGGCAGGGGCAGGCACCCGTCCTGGGTGAAGCCACAGGCGCCCTTCCCGGGAACGCGGTGGCTTCTCAGGCGCCCGCACCCATCCATCTCCCTCTTGAGTTCTCCGGCGGAGGTTGTCATACCCGGCCGTGAACAGCCCTCCAGAGCTTTCCCCGTCTGCACTTACAGCCCCGCACGCTGCCTCCCAAAGCTTAAGCCAAAGAGTGCCGGGCACGGAGACGCCCGCGACAAGTCAGTCTAGCCAGAAAACGCGTCCTCGAGACGCCCGCAACAAGTCGGTGTAGCCAGAAAACGCGTCCTCGCTCCGGCGCACGAGCCTCCAGCTCTCCCGGGGCTGGCGCTCCTGGGCGCCTCACTCACCGTCCCTGCTTGGTGATGATCATCTCCGTCTGGTGCTGATTGAACTTGGACCACAACAGGTGGTTGTTGAGCGCGACTCTCAGCTTCCCCGATACCTCCAGCCCCGCAGGCAGCGCGTAGTCCTCGCGCGGTCCCGGGTAGAGCCCGGCGCGCGGGTCTGGGGCGGCGTAGCCATCCCCGGGCGGGTAGCCCTCGGCGTCCGCCTGCTGCGGGAAGGGTTCGCCTGCCCCCGGGAAGCCGGGAACCTGGGGCCGGGGCGGGTAGGTGTAGGCTCCGAGGAAGCGGCCCGGCGGGGCGGGCACTAGGGCGCCCCCGGCATAGGGCGCCCCCAGGCTGGCGCCCCCGCGACGGTCGGCAGCGTCCTGCGCGCCTGGCTCTGGGTAGAAGTAGCGGTGCTGCGGGTCGGCGCCAGGCGCCCGGCCCTCGTCGCTTGCCGGCAACAGCTCGGTGCCCGTCAGCATGTCTCCGCAGCCCGGCTCCACGATGCCCATCCGGGGCGGGCTGGGCAGCCTCCCGCAGCCGTCGAGGACCGGCAGGTGAGAGGGTGGAGCGAGCTGGGGTGGGCAGAGGCCTCGGGGTGGGGGGAGGACGGGCCCCGGGCTCGGACGTCTGTCTGCTCCT